GAAAGAACAAGAGCAATGTTGAGGGATGCAGACCTAGAAAAATCATTCTGGGCAGAAGCAGTCAATACCGCCTGTTATTTGGTGAACCGAGCTCCATCAACTGCAATAGAGCTGAAGACACCAATGGAGATGTGGACTGGAAAACCACCTGATTATTCAAACCTCCATATATTTGGAAGTATAGTGTACGTGATGTACAACTCCCAAGAAATTTCAAAGCTGGATCCAAAATCCAGGAAATGCAAATTCTTGGGGTATGGTGATGGAGTAAAGGGGTATCGCTTGTGGGATCCCACTGCCCGCAAAGTGATCATTAGTAGAGATGTTATCTTTGTAGAAGATAAACTACAAAGAAAAGAAGACAATGATAGCGCTGAAAAGTCAGAGACTACTCAGATACATGTGGAAAAAGAGTTTGAAGAAGGAGATTCTTCTGAAGCAGAACCAACAAATGATGAACAAGAACCAGAGAGTTCTGAAGCTCCAACAACTCGTCAATCAGATCGTGTGAGAAGACGTCCCAATTGGCACTCAGATTATGTTATAGAAGGTAATATTGCATATTGTCTTTTAACAGAGGACGGTGAGCCATCAACATACCAGGAGGTAATAAACAGCTCAGATGCTTCACTGTGGATGATGGCAATGCAAGAAGAAATCGAAGCCCTTTATAAAAATAATACATGGGACCTTGTACCACTACCACAAGGAAGGAAGTCAAATTGGTAACAAATGGGTCTTCAAAATCAAGCGAAATGGTGACGATCAAGTTTAGAGGTATCGTGCAAGACTGGTGGTCAAAGGATATGCTCAAAAAGAAGATATTGATTTCAATGAAATATTTTCTCCTGTGGTTCGACTAACAATAGTTCGAGTAGTTTTGGCAATGTGTGCTACATTGGACTTACATCTAGAGCAGCTAGATGTTAAAACAACTTTTCTTCATGGAAATCTTGAAGAAGAAACTTATATGCTCCAGCATGAAGGTTTTGAAGAAAAAGAAAAGAAGAACTTGGTTTGCAGGTTGAACAAATCTATGTACGGTCTAAAGCAGGCGTCGAGGTGTTGGTATAAGAAATTTGATTCCTTCATTATGTGCCTTGGATACAACAGACTTAATGCTGACCCTTGTGCTTATTTCAAGAGGTCTGGTGATAACGATTTTGTTATTTTGCTGTTGTATGTGGATGATATGTTGGTTGCATGACCCAACAAAGATCATATTGAAGAATTGAAGGCACAACTGGCTAGGGAATTTGAAATGAAGGACTTGGGATCAGCAAACAAGATTCCAGGGATGTAAATTCACCGAGACAGAAGTAATAGGAAGATTTGGCTTTCACAAAAGAATTATTTGAAGAAGATCTTGTCACGATTCAGCATGCAAGATTGTAAGCCAATTTCTACTCCTCTTCCTATTAACTTCAAATTATCTTCCAGTATGAGTCCTAGCAGTGAAGAAGAGAGGATGGAGATGTCTCGAGTACCGTATGCATCAGCAGTGGGAAGTTTGATGTTCGCTATGATATGCACAAGACCAGACATTCCACAAGCAGTGGGAGTGGTTAGTCGGTACATGGCGAATCCAGGCAAAGAGCATTGGAATACAGTAAAGAGGATCCTGAGATACATCAAAGGGACCTCAAATGTTGCATTATGTTACGGAGGATCAAACTTACTAATCAATGGGTATGTAGATTTTGACTATGCAGGGGATTTGGATAAAAGCAAATCTACTACAGGATATGTGTTCAAAGTTGCTGGTGGAGTTGTAAGCTGGGTTTCAAAATTGCAGTCAGTTGTGGCTACGCCAACAACAGAAGCAGAATATGTAGCAGCTACACAAGCCAGTAAAGAAGCAATTTGGTTGAAGATGCTATTGGAGGAGCTTGGGCACAATCAAGAGTATGTCTCTCTATTTTGTGACAGTCAAAGCGCCTTGCATCTAGCAAGGAATCCAGCATTTCATTCAAGGACAAAACACATACAAGTTCAGTATAATTTCATTTGTTAAAAGGTGGAAGAAGGGACAGTAGATATGCAGAAGATCCATACCAAAGACAACATAGCAGATTTCATGACGAAGGCGATCAACGCTGATAAATTTACCTGGTGGCGATCCTCTTGTGGCCTGTCAGAGACGTAAGCAACATGATGGTACAAGATAGAAAGAATGGTGTGAAGATATGATTGTTCCAATCAAATCTTCAAGTGGGAGATTGTTGAAATGTGCAGAAAATTGGTTCAAGTTAGGCACCTAATATTGCAATGTCAAAATTAGGTGCAACAATGTCAAAATTAAATGAGTAAATTATAAACTTTAGTCACTAAACTTTAGGGTATTTATAAGATTAGTCCTTAAGTTTCAACTATAAATACCCTAGCTCATTTAGCTTCAAAATCATCCCAAGGCATTCTAGCTTTCTTCCAATACTAGAGAGAATTTAGAGAGTTTCTTGAGAGTTGTTTTCTCCTTTTTTATCAAGAGAGAATTATCATTGTTTTCTCCTTGGTAGATCGAGAGAGGTTGTAATTCCTATATTCTCATAGTGAAATTCTTCTACCGTTGCCCGTGGTTTTTACCCTAAATTTTAGGGGTTTTCCACGTAAATTTTGTGTCTCTTTTATCTTCATTTTTATTTTCTCAAATTATCAGTTGCGATTTTGCTCTATCCGATAGCCGTCTTCCGCAACAGGACCGATGTCTCATCTTTAAAACTTTCATATCCTCGCATTTACTCTATAGTTGTTCGAAAAGTAGGGTCAGTTGCTGAGTTTGTTTCAAAGTTAAATGGCCTTTGGGTTTGGAACATTGAGTTACACATATGGCTCTTTGAGTGGGAAATAAGTTTGTGGATTTGAGTTCCTAAATACTTTAAATAAAGCCATTGAAGAGTGTGCCGCTATGGATTATTTGAGATGGAATGAGTCGCCAAATGGGACCTATTTCCCCAAAATTTACTTCCTTAAAATGGTGGAGGATGGTAATGAGGAAAAACATTTGTGGTAAACAGTTTGGATTAACTTAGCTCCTCCAAAAGTTGAATGCTTCATTTGGAATGTTGTTTAACAATGAGTGCCAACATTTGTGGAATTGGCGATGCGTGGGATTTCGAATTTACCTTCACTTCTGTGTCTTCTGTCATAGAGAGCTTGAGTCGGTAAACCACCTTTTTTGTCATTGTGTGATTATGTGGAACCTATGGCAAAGGTGGTGCTCCTTTTTTAACTTGAGGGTGGTAATACCAGGAAATACAAAGGATTGGTTACTACTATGAGACTTCTTACCGGTTCGAAGATCATGTAAGCCTCTGTGGAAATTGATTTATTGTGGAACTTTGTTGACTATTTGGCTATGCAGAAATGACGTGGTATTCAATGACAAATGCTGGAATGAATTTCAAATGTTCGATTCGATGCTGCTGAGAATTGGTCACTGGTGTAAATGTAAATGGTCGCTGTCAGCCCCTTCGATCTTGGACTTCGCTCAAAATCCTTCCGGTGCCATTTAGTCAATGATCTAAAAGAGTTCCCTGTTGGTTTACGTCTAATAAGACTTGTTTTCTTAGTTCCAAAAGGGTTTCTTGAATCGTACTCTCACCCAAAAGGATTCGTAGATGGCAATGGAGGATCAGGGTGGTTTTCATTTAAAGCACCGACTTTTGTAATTATTATTGAGTTTTCGCTCGAGCTTGGCTGTAGGCATGGGTGCTGCTTTTGATTCGCATTTGATTGTGGTTAACTTGGCTAAAATTATTCTTGGGCTGCGTTTCTTGGCTAGTCCATGATGCAGTTGCATTTGGGTCGCTTGTCACATTGCTGAGTGCTTGGAATTAATTTGCTTTTGGGTGACTGGTTTTCATGCTAAGACCTCTATCCCCTTGTTTGGTTGTGTTGTTTGACGTAGAACCTTTGTTGAGGTCAATGATTAGTTAGAGTTTTGGGTTGATACTCCCCATGGCTTTAGGCATCATTTTAAGGTCCTGGTCGTGAGAGTTTCATAGTCTGTGAATGTAGTGGCCCATTGTTGCGACACTAGGGTGATCGTGGCTGCCCATGATGGATCGAGTATTGGTTTCGCCTTGTTAATTGGCGTCGTTAGAGTGCACTCTTTTTCCTCCAACTAGGTCTAAGGAAGTTTTTTAACGAGGCTTCTATCGCTTGTCTTATTTTCTATGTAGTAAGATATTTAATACATACAAAACGCTCCTTTAAAAAAGGTTTAACCTTGAGCTCAATCCTATTTTATTTTTAAAAGCCCAAGTTTTATCCAAATAGATTAGATTTGACTCGAATTCTTAACGAGTCGAAACAAGTTATTTGATACTCGACTCAAAAAAATTGTGAACATCTCGAAAAAACATATTAAAATTTTAGATTTTCTAAATTCAATTATTAATAATATTAACATTTATATGTTATTGTATAAAAAATACAATATAAGATTTTCATGTACTTAAGGCTCGAGTTCGAGTCAAGTTTCAATTTTTGATTTCAAGTGGTGCTTAAAAATCTTAAGCTTGCAAGCTTTCGAGTTGAGTCGAGTTTCAATTTTTTATTTTGAGTTCGAATCGAGCTTGACAATTTTAAGCTCTCAAGTTTTTGAGTTGAATCGAACTTAATTTTAATGTTTTTAATCGAGTTGAGCTAAACAATACTCGAATTCGACTCGATTCATTTACAATCCTAATCACAAACCTCAATTTTAAAAAAATTGCAAATACAAATTGAAATTTAATTTATAATCTTCGAAATTGAAACAGGAATGGAATTTAAGTAGATATGATTTACGTTAAGTAATCAATGAAATTCTTTACAAGTAAAGCGAATGGGTAAAGATAAAGAGAAAACCAGAGCAAGGAACGGAGAACGAACACAAATCAATGAAATCCTTTATATGAAGATAAATTTTCAACTTCTGATAAACTTACAACAAGAATCAAAGAATGAACAGCAAATTAACTGATCTAAAAAAATCTGTCCTTGAAACAAATGAATCGGTATGTATGAAGTTTCTGTATGCAACAAAAGAATGAAAGAATAATGAGCGATTTCTCTTCCTACAAAGAATCCCTTGGCTGAGGAAATGAGGATGAGCTGCCTGCAACATCAATGGGTGTCCAAGCTGAGACTGAATATAGTGGCTGATCTAACCAACTTAGAGTCAGCGCCCCTCCATCTTGCCCTTCCTTCTTCACTTTGTACTTCTCACTAGAGTACATCTTTAGCAGCAATTGGCTCTGCCCCACTTCTCTCTCTGTAATTCCCATGCATCGGAACCTTCCTTCCTCCATCAACTTCCTCCACTTCTCGAAAATCTCGTGCCTTTCGACCCTGTCTCTTCCTTCACAAGCAATTATGCTCCGGATTTCCCTTGCAAACGTCTCCTCTACTTTGATCCTAACTGGACTCTCCATGGGAAGGCTTGAATCAATCGAGTCAAAAATGGCTGAGTAGTATCTCAATGAATTGGCTACCCTTGCTTCTAAGCTGAGTACATTATGTTCAGCTTCTTGCTCGGCCATGATGACCACCGTAGGATTCGTGCTACGAATAAGTCCCAAGAAGTCCCTCAGAGCTCCTCCATTTCCATCATAAAGTGTCTTGTGCAATTGGAACGCACAGTTCACAGCTACAGTTTCTTTCTCCTTTACATGAAGCATCCATAACCTTATATCTTCTAACCGGTCCACAACTGGATGGAACTCGAAAGGCAAATTCAATACCTCGGCAAATCCCGAGAGCCTGTATCCCGTTTCATTCAATTCTTGCTTTGACTCACCAATCCCGGTAACTCTAACATGGCTTGGTGGATTAGTCCTTGCAGCTAAACTCTGGAACAAACTAGGCCACTGAAGCCCTTGCTTGATGTCGAAATCTATTATGTGAACCCTGTCTTTCCCTTCAAAGGCTCTCAACAATATCTCATTTGATGTGAAGTGAACAAATTTCGGAATTGGACTTATCTGATTCAAGAGCCTCAATGTGGCACCATTGTCGTCATCGACCCAATCAAGCTCACGAGGAGTTGTGATGTGAAAAATGTGAGGCCAAAGCCTCGTGACTCGAAGAGCCAAAGCTTCAGTATAGTAAGCAGTTAGGCGGCTTATAGCACTTCCTCTTGGAGAAGCAAGATCACCCAACTTAGCTATAAAATGATTGATTGCTGCAATGTTGTTTGATCCAATTGCTTCAACGCAAGCTGTAAGTAAGTGAACAAGCTCGAACCCCTGATGCTCCTCGTGGTTGTTCTCCTCCTCATAAGCACCCATACCAGCACCCTCATGCCGGCGAGGATTCCCTGACCCGTTGCCCACTTCATATTCTGTGGCTTGTTCGTTTAACCGAAGTCCCATACTATGACTCTCCGAAGAAGTACTCGATCCCGAAGCTTCCTTTACCGGCCTGTGGGTTGTCTCTACATCTTTTTCCCCAACATCAGTGATATCAGTTATTACTGATTCGGTCCAAGGATTGTTAGACGATGGCAAAGGCGGTGAAATCACTTCACTAGGCATAAAACACGACCTTTCTTCATCCCCTGAACAAGTCAGAGAGAAACGAACTTGAGGAGCACTTTGTCGATTAAAACCTGGTTGAAACCAAAAATCTGCAGCCAAACTCAAACTATCTCCACCACCTTCATCAATATCACCCGAAATCTGATTATGACAGCTACCCTTTTTCCTCTTGGCCCTGTTAATGACTGACTCATCAATGAAACCCTCGGCAAACCTCTTCAAACATTTCCCTTTCTCCCAAAGCTCATCCTTGATCTCTCCCCGTCCTTGGAATGGATTCTGCGCGGCAATAGTCAATGGTGGCAGCCGGATATTCTGCTTGAGAGAACAACCGCCGGTCTTGGATTCAATCGGTTTCTCTACTGAAAGGCCAACAGGCCTAATGGGCTGTGACCTTGAAGCAGTGTCCTTGCGAGAAAAACTACATGGCAAGTCCAGTCTCTGTGTGCTCATCGAAGTTGGGAAATGGCAAGCTTGAAACTGTGCAGACGATTCACTCCTCAATCTATGCCTAGGTGACAGCAATGTTGAACTAGAACACCCTGCCAACATTTCTCTACAACCTTGCTATTTTTTCTTTCTTTTTTTTGCTTTCAATTCACTCACCCCCAGATCGTTTTCTCTATTTTCTTTCCCTGTCTCTATTTGTTTGTACAAGTTTTATGCGGTGTATGAGTTTTTGTCTCTCTTGTTGATGTATAAAATGTTATATGTTCACATGAAAGTTTGCATGTATACTTGGACAACTAAATCCAGAGAGACGGACAAATTATAAGAGAGTGTGTGATTTTCAAGAACCAAAATAAGAAGGAATCCGATTTTTTTTAAAAAAAATACAGAAACGAATCAACGAATATCGGAAATGCAAGTGTTCCTATATGAACAATATGCGTGTATACAATGAAGAATTAAAAAGGAAAAGAATCCCAGCCCAGAATGAATGAAAAGATTGTTAAGAACTACACTAAAACATGTACCACAAAACAATCACCGGATTCCCAAACATTAAAAACAAAACTCATTCGAAAAGGGTATGATGAATAGTGTAAAAGACATGAAAATTGGAAGCAAAATTGCATAGAAACACAAACCTGGACTTGATATCCTGAAAAACATTGAAACCCATCTCAGCTTTTGATGTTTGCAAAAACTCCATGCTAACTGAAGCAGAACCCAAACTACCCAGCTCTGAAATCAAACTAAACGACCAACCAACAAATGAAACATATCCCCTCGAAGCTCACAACCAGAGAAAACCAACTAAAGTGTTTATTGAAACCTATTAGTATTTCTCTGGGTTCATGTTGTTGATTTAACTCTTTCTACTACACCTACTACTATGGTATACTACTACTGTATGTATACACCTTACTAGTAAATACTCACCTCTTTTACCCTCTTCACGTCTCCATCATCGCTTTCCCTTTTTTTGGTTTCTGAGCTTTTGATCTCAGCCAAAAATTACCAAGGTGAATAATACCCCTTTGAAACCGTTGGGGTGTTGTCGCTGAAATATGACCGTTAGGGAGTTTGTTGCGCGGTCCTTTATTTTCTTTCTTTAGTTGTACTATTATTATTTATTTGTATAATTTAGAGAGTGCTGATGATGTACACGTGCTTGTCTCCTAATGGCTGATACCCATTCATTTAGCCGTTGGATCACCAGCTCTCGTACGGTCATACCTCAACTATATACATTCCGTGTCCTACACTTTTATCGTCTTATGAAAATTAACATTTTCTTGACATCTTAGCCTCTTTTAGCTATAAGTAGGCATTAATGTTTTAGTTAAAAGGTCTCTTTACCAGTCCATTATTTAGATAACATAAAAGTGAAAATAAAAATATGGGTAAACTATGCAGATAGTCCCTTATGTTTAGGGCATGATCGACTTTGGTCATCAATTTAAAAATTAATAGGAAATGATCCCTAACGTTATCGATCCTTTCGATTTTAGTCCCTCAACCATTAATTTTTGTTAACCCCATTTTGTTTAAGCCCCTAACAAGGCTGAGGGGCTAAAATATAACGAAAGTGAACGAATGAGGGACTAAAATCGAATAGATCGATAATGTTAGGAACTATAATTGAACGGATCGATAAGTTTAGGGACTATTCCCCCTTAATTTTGAAATTGGTGACCAAAATCGATCAGACTGAAAATATAAGGGACTATTCCCTATTATAACTAGAATATGCTTCTGTAGGGGTTTGGTTTGGGTATAGGACCAACCAACAAATGAATATAAAGCTCAAAGGATACAAGGAAAGCAGAGACGCACCCTCCATCCATAACTGCATCATCCTCTTTTAATCAATAGAAAACCACCACCAACAAAAAGGACAATAAGACTGACCATTGTCGGGTCATATTATCCTACCCTGAAGTTTAATCAACCAAATAGCACCAGCCAACCCTTCATGAAATTCATGTTTCAATAAAACTAAAAGATTTTCCCAATAATTTTCTACTATAAACGTGTAGGGATTAAGATGTTTTTACTTCTTCACATCAACTCCAGAAATAAGGCTTCATGTTTGCTTGTTAGCCCTAGTTCATTTAGTGTCAAATTTCTCTCCCCATCGCCAAAAGCACGCCTTGGGTATGGCCTTACCTGTGCAGCAGATGTTGTAATTAGAATGCTATTATATATATTCCTTGCAGGAAGTAAGTAGGGAATATTTTCGACCAATGCTGAAAAATAAATCACCCATCCAACTCAAATGATAGGATGGACTCGGGATGAGAATTTACCAGTCTATAAGTTCCTGGCTTGAACCCTCTACTAATATCTATGAAGTCATATAGGGACTGCGAAACACAATCAAAGTCAGGTCTAACATTAAGCATGCACAAAGAGAGGTGACTCAATTGATTCTTCTTTGCACGGTTACCTGCAGCCTATCAGACATCAGAAATCTGCGCCACCGGCGACTGCCATCTGGCATTCGCACAAGAAGGGTTACATCATTATGCTCATTGGCTGCTGGCTCATGAGGCAGTGAAGCTTCTTTAGCAGCTAATTGTCTCTCGCATTCCTGCAAATGGAATCAGAAAGGATGCAATTCAGAATCATGAAAAGTATATACCTACAGTGAATGAAGTTCTATTTACAAATAATAAATTAAGTACGAATAAGTTGATTGGAAAGCAACAACCAAATTAACAATTCTTTTTTTTTTCTTCTCAATAATAATTTCTAATAACAAATGTAAAATCCATTTATAAAAAAAAATTCCATAAGTACCTAATATTTATTATTCTAGTATGATATTGCATGGTTTTGATGGAAACATTACTTTTCTCTTATGTAGAAATATTATTTTTCCTCTTTCATTATCTTTTTTGTAAAATAATTTAGTCATGAATTATGGTTCATGAATGTTCATTCATTCGAGAAGATAATATTTATTTTTATATTTATAGAAATGTTAAGTTCTATTCTTTTGAGTATGGTCTATTTTGTCCTTAATGTGTTAAATTTAAATAAGTTAAATTCAGAGTTTATTTGAATAAAAGAAGTTATTTTCTATAAAAAAAAGTTAAAATATTAATGATCTATTTGATTTTAGAAAATATATGTTGTTTTTATTTTCGTTTTCTTAGAAAATATAAAACATTGAAGAAAACGTGTTTGATTGTACAATTGAAAAATGATTTCTAAAAAGTAAAAACAAAATTAGGTGAAAAAATGAAAAACATAAAATAGATCTTTTCAATATTTTCATTAAAATTATTTTTGAAATTTGAAAAATAAGAAAACATGAGATATAGGTTTTTAACTTAACTTATACAGGTTCAATTGTTTCTAACAATAATTTTTTTATCTAATGGTACCTATAACCCTTAAAGTTTTCAAAAAAAATATGATCCCTGAATGTTTTTTACACTCAATATAGTCTTTAAATTGAATTTTTTTAATAAATTAATGATTTAGCATTTTATATTTAATGTATTGAATATCATAATAATGGTTTATATAATATATTTTTAATTTAAATAAATTATTAATTTTTGTAAAATAAATAAGTACTCAAACTTTCTAAAAAAATCAATTCTAACATCAAACTTAGCAAAAAAAAATCAATTAAGCCCATCTACTACATCATCATCCATCATGTGCTACCACAATATTATCATAAATTGTCACATAAATATTGTAGATTTTCATGTGAGCTTGTGAACTGTCATATAAGTAGGAATGGCAACAGGCCGGGTTCGGGCCAGGTATTGGTCCCCCCGTCCCCATCCCCGTTTAAAAAACCCATACCCGTCCCTGCTTAAAAACCCGCAAGGATTTAAACGGGGATCCCAATCGGGTATTCGGGTAAAACTGCGGGGAAACGGGTATCCCCGTTTAGCATAAACGGTTATTTAAACGGGTAATTTAATACTTCAAAATTGTATCAAATTAAAATAATTTAATATTTCAGTAAATTTAAAACAAGTTAAACGGAATCGAAACACAAACCAAAATTGGGTGAGTAGTATATTACAGGGAGCTAATAATCTTCTTTACTGGATGTCATGATTTCCAGTGACGGGTACAAGGCCAACTGATATTATGAATAATTCTCCATCATATTTGGCACATATCTGATTGTTCAGCAATGTACAAACAATTGAAAAATTGATTGATATTGGAGATAGTGAACAAATATTTCAGAAAGAAATTCAGGAGCAGGGACGAGGTCGGGTTTGTCTTAAGTTTCCTTTTTCTTAATTAATAGAATTTTCTTATGTGATTTCAGGAATCTTATAGTAAAATAATGGAAGAATGGTTGGGAAATTAAATGAAGAAAACAACAAACTCAAATCAAAATATAAAAACAAAGGGAAATGTAGTCTTAATATGAAGAAAAACACACTAAAATAACAAAGAGCACTTCGTTGTTGTGACCTCAAATGATTGAAATAAAATTAACAATAAAGCATGATAAATGTGAATCACTCCTCCGACTCAGACTCGACATTCTAAAGCCACTCAATGAAGGGCTTGACGCTACCACCGTCATCAAACAGTTGTGACCCCCAATTGCTACAATTAGACAAAAATTATAAGTCACCAAAATTTATATAAAAAAGTTAATGATGTCACGTATAACTTGTATATCAATTTAGTACCTCGTCACCATCATCACGATCATATTCGATGCTTTTACAATATGCTTCGGACTCTTGTGAACAAGTTGTTGTATTTATTAATTTATATAACATATCATATCAACAATACAATTGAAAAAAATAAACTTATAAGTAAAAGAAATGATTGATTACCTCTTATTTCATTTATTAACCAACTTTGGGCACACATTAGCGCTTCCAACGTCTTTGGATGAAGACGACTCCGATGAGGACTCACCAATCTACCACTTGTACTAAAGGCAGACTCAGACGCAACAGTGGATATTGGAATTGCTAATATGTCTCGGGCAATTTTTTGTAATGTTGGATACTTGAAACCATTTGTTTTCCACCAAGACAAAATATCAAGCTCTGAATTTTGTGTCCTTACTTTCTCTTGAAGATAATGATCAAGCTCCGACATGATACCTACAATAATAATTTTATACATTTAAAACATAAATAAAACAATCAAAAGATAAATAAAACAAACTCATATAGTGATACCTGTATGATTATCATCTTCAACGAATGTAAAATAGTCGTTGAAAAACCCCCCCTCCACCTGAACCTCCATGTCACTAGTGTTGCGACTTAAATCAACATCCCGATTCCGTGAACTTTCATAATTACAAGTTTCAT